AGTAGTAGTAGTAGTAGCAGCAGCAGCAGCAGCAGCAGCAACAGCAGTAGGTAGTAGTAGTAGTAGTAGTAGTAGTAGTAGTAGTAGTAGTAGTAGTAGTAGTAGTAGTAGTAGTAGTAGTAGTAGTTAGGAGAAGTGGTGGTAGTAGTAGTAGTAGTAGTAGTAGTAGTAGCAGCTTGATTTGTATGCAGGAAAGGCGGGCATCTTGCACTGGTTCTTTCCAACTTCTCGTTAGGCCGTCACGCGGCCTTAGATTGCTGAAGCCTGGTAGTGCTGGATTTCAGAAGACAGCGGACTCCAACATAGATCCTACAGAGCACACCCCAAAATTAAGCGCCTGCAAACCTGTACAACGGCCATATATAAGTCATGGTTAAAAGTCTTCTGAAACCCTATGTATACAGCCGTATACCAACACTTCTAGCTGGGGCCGCCACATCTTCGCCCTCTGCAGCAATGCGGCTTCTCGCAGCAATTGCCTGCGCACATGGGTTAGGGCCGTCGACAGATTCCTTGGACTCATGCTCTGACTTTGCAGATTTGAGGACACGGAACTTCGGCACCTTTTTCCCGTCAGGATTTGGGATCGAGACCGAAAGTGGGAGGCTGGCCTACATGACTCGCTGCGTGCATGGTCATAAGATGTATAACAAGCTAGCCGTTTGCATCACTCTCCCCATCCTCGCCCGGGGACCAGGGCCTTAGATTGGATCCAAAGCTCACTTCAAGAAGCTCGGTTTTGCTGTGCGACCTTCCGCCCCCTTGCACGTCCCACATGATTGTTCGAACTCCAATACCCGAACCGACCAAGGCCTTCTGAAAGTCCCTAAGTTGGAACCACAAGTAGAAACTCCTGTGCAAGTGCGGGCGCCTGCGGAGGAAGCGTCGCGCTCCCCCCATCCTCTGCCTCACGCTGGAGACAGGCTCGAGGTCTCGGGATGACTTGGGCCCTGCACCGACCCTTGGCGCCAACGACTGGATCTGACTCGATCTGTCGGTGCCCATGGCCTCCATCGTCGCCACCATCATGATTTATCATTCAATGTCATTACTGCAATCATACTCATAATCAACTTCATCACGCAGCCACCTATCAAACATGTCCCAGTCCCCTTCGCTCCCACAGTACGCCGACAAGGAACCTTCTTCCTCCCCTTCCCCCGCCTCCGCCCGGTATGTGCCGAGCCGTGCTTCCCGGAAGAAGGACAAATCCGTCCTGTCTGGCACAGCACAGAGCAAAGTAGAGAAGAGCCAGCAATACTAGAAATACGCCCGAAGGCAACCCAAAAAAAGGAACCCACCAGGAACCTCTGAGGCTCCTTGGAGCAAAGCAGACTTCACGGAGCCAGGGTCGGCTCAGGGTCTATGAGCTTTAGGGCCAGTTCCCACCGCAGAATTTGATGCTCGAGGGTTGCAAGGCTCTGGGGCTCTAGAATACCACTTTTCAGGACCGCTTTTCCTACATGCACATGGAGCGAGGCTTTGCAGAGGCCCATCTAGGGCCTAGCAAGAGACTCTCTCGCGTTTGCAACCTGAAGGTGGAGCATCTTTAGCTTCAAGGTGAGATGTCGGTTCATCTCTCATAAACTTTACCTTATCTAACTCACGCGTTGAGTGTCCCCAAAATGCCTGTGGATTTGAGCCACAGAGTTTATGGTCAGTGTGATGTACATATGAAAATTAATCAGACTCACCATACCAGTAGCAAGGCTGGGCTCTGCTCGCTTCGGTCTAGCAGACAAGTGTGGGAGTACCTCGTCCTCTGCGGTGACCGCTAAGGGTTTCGGGTTTCAGCACGCACACTCGGGCAAGCCTTAATTAAGGGTTGCGGGTTTCGACACACACACTCGCGCAAGGCAGGCATGGCAATGAGTCTCCGAGCTTGCTGGGTTTAGGGCTTGGGGGGAGTATCCGGAGTAGTACTCGTGTTGCTTACCCTTGTGACTCCCAAATTCTCTACTTGGGATGCTCGAAAAACACACCTCTCTGAGCTCCAGACAGCGTGTGCTTCCCGTCGTAGCTGCCTCGGATGACAACAGAAAGGACCAGTCCAAGACGAGTGTATACTGTATATTAAATGTACCTCACTGCCACAATTTCCACTAGACCCTAGCACGGCAGACAATTACGAATAGAAGCCATTCAAGATCCATCTGCAGCAAAGCCCTGCAATAAGTTCATGTTAATTCAGCTTGGTGTGTGCCTGCGCGCAGTGGAACCCGAAACTCCAATCCTTCAGGACGTGAAGTTGATGCAACAGACCGTCATGACGCACGCCTTTGAGCAGGTCAGCCGCATGGTCGACGAAGATGCGCTTTGCGGCTGATAGGTCCTGGGGAAAGGCGCAACTGTTCGGCTCATCTACCGCAGTAGCCCACAGGCTGAAAAGGCAGCAATCGCCCGCAGCAGATTGAACCATGACACACGACCGCTCCTACCACAAACAGCTAAGGACCCCCACAGAAGCCCGAAAGAATCATGAATCCGGCATCTCGACGGCTGATAAGCAAATCGGGCCATCCACGGCCTTCGACCGAAAGAACTCGGTGAGAATCTCGTACTGCACCTGAATCTAACATACGTTAATCCGCTTTGAGCTGCCTTGAACCATACACTCTTTTTGCAACAGGCCTCGTTGTCCAGCAGCCCGGTCTACCCAAACACATACACTCTAAACTCTAAACCCTCCACGGTTCAGATCGATGGGGAAGGAAGATGAAACGACGGCTCGATGATGCCAGGCCCACCTTTGTGCCGCCTAGTGGGCAGTAACTCAGTAAGTGATTAGGATTTTGCATGGTGGTCCATGTACAATACCAAACGTTTATGAATCAATGTTCGATCTGACAATGAATTTGATGGAAACAATTGCTACGATGCTACGAGAGGCTCTGTAAAAAAACAGAAGGTACGGGCAAAGACGGACGCGCAAATGCATGGTTTGATTGGCAGGTATGCCTGCATACTGTGTGCAAGTTCGTCCTATGTAACCACAATATACATACAAAGCTGTGCCTGGATGCCGTTTCCTTCACTGCATGAAGCCAAGCTGCCCTGAATTGAATTATCAATCATGATCGGATGCTTTTGGCAACTGCCCGTCTGGGACAAGCGGCATTGCTGGCCAGTCGGCACTGGTCTCGCCCTGAGACGAAAGCGCCACTATGAGATCTCCATGAATGCATGGGTGGACTACCGTCAGCACCGGCTTTAGGGATTTGGAGGTTTCCCAAAATAGGGGACCCTAATATAGCACCCTAAACAGTAGGATCCTTGTTATAAGGACCCCAAAATAAGGTGGGTTCGAAGATCAACTCAGTCTGGGACGGCGCGAGGGATGCTTCTGTCTTGTTCCTGTTTTGCATTAACCCAACACTTGTCAACTCCTCCAACTTATTGCAGCCCTGTCAGCGAAACAGGACGGTACCTATCTTGCGATGACACAAGGAAACACATGCAAAGAAAAACCTCTTCTGTTCAAGGACACTGGAAGAACATAGAAGCTAGTCTCGCGATTCGCGATGTCTTTTGCTGAGATTGCTGCACCTTCCTTCATGAAACACAGAGCCAGAACGACCTAAGGCCCCGTAACTACAGTACGCCTAGTGAGACACATAACACCTACGGTTCCAGGAAAACCCCGACGCCGAGCCCGAAAGGCTCACTGTGCGGTATCCTGGGCTCCTCGCGAATGGCCTCCAGCCCCTTGGCCTCGATCACGGGGCTAAAGCGCAGAAAAACAGCGCCGCTCGGGACGATGTTCAGAGTCATAGGGATCCTTTCCGTGTAGTTAAGGCCTGAGGATGCACCAAGGAGTCACGAGTACCAAAGACCGCTCTGGCGGAAGCCAGAAGCCCTAATGTAGGGGCCTGAATGATTAGAATAGGGTTTGGTGGTATTTTATACTATAACTATAATAAGGAATCCCCACAAGAGTATAGGTGATTAGAAAGGCCTCTATATTACAGCCAAAGAGTGCTCAAAGCACGCAGCTGCCTCGAACGAGCCGGTGCCTCCTTCCGAGGGCGGTTTGGCCTCGTCTTCTTTGGGTGGGATAGCTTGGGATTTCTAGGAGGGGGGTGTGAAGTCCATAAATGTGCGAAAAACCCTAGCTCTATATTGACCTACGGCAAACATGAAGACGGGATTTCCACCACAATCGCATGGATGTGCTGGAGACTGCAGCCGTTCCGAGCAATTTAGGGCAAAAAAATAGCAAGTGTGCTTGGGGCCGTCCTGCGTTGTATCGTTGTACCTCCTGTGCTTGAGTCTTTGTCGCGAGTGTCGGTCACGTGGGCTTCGATTCAATTGACGCAGGTGCAATTTCTCAGCGCCTTGTTGCATGAAGAATCATCTCTGTAACATGGGTGCCTTCTTAAAGCCAGGCGTACATTATTTGTAGCAGGAAGTCTGAGGCCAAGCGCTGCATGCGGCTTCTTAGGCGGTTTTGAAGATCCCCTCGCCCCCTGCAACTTACACCATCTTACGTTTGCGCACCGCATAAGTTCCTGGCATATGCCATGCCACCGTAGCGCTTCTTCGTTAGGCACAGGCATGGCATGTACACCTGGGCATCGGGGAAGCTAGCGGCAAGCAGGGTCGAACGCTTCGCGATTGCCCCCGGAAATGGAATGCACAGTCTGCATCACAGCGCAGATTCACACTTCAGCTGTAGCTGATGCTTCTTCTACACACTTCCTTGTTCACTCTTCACTGGGGCTAGCGGTCATGGCCTTCTCAAATTCCAGCTCCACCGGCTGAGGATGCTTCGCCGAGACCTGCTCAAGCATCGATCCCTCAAGGTAGATGGGAGTTTCCGAAAAAATAGGGAACCCTATTTTGAGGTCCTTATAATAAGGATCCTACTATTTAGGGTGCTATATTAGGGATATTTCATCCAAGACGCGCTCCTGCTCTAAGGACCGTTTTTTTGCATCAGGCTTGCATGTCGCGCCTGGCTATTTGCTCCAAGGGCCTAAACCGTAAACCCTGTCAGGCTTCGCGAAGAGCCTGGGAGCAAATGTCCCTGCCAGCTTTGAAAGCCTCCTCGAGGGAGTACCCCCTGAGCTGGACCTGGCTGCGGGCGAACTCCTCAAGAGCGGGAGATCCGTAAACGCTGTAATCTAGGGACCTTCATAATTCGAATAAAGGTTTTGGGGTATATTCGATCTGCGCCTGCCTTTTGCAAATGCTGATGATTGCCAACTCGTACTACTCTTCTTTCTCGATTGGTGTCATCAACTTGGGCACCAGGCGAAAACCGAATCTGTGTCACCGTAGATGACCTTGGCGCCCGGCCACGTCGCCTGGATGCAACTCACGCTTATGCACTGTATGAGCCTTCGTTAATAGAACTCGCAAGTCTTGTATCGGCCCACTATACCATCGCAACTCATCTCAGAAGCTGCTCGCCCCACGCCCCAAAAAGCAGGGAATAGACAGACACCTAAGCCAAACTAGCTTATACAACACATACGTCTATCTGTGTGTGTGTTCGTGTGTTATTTTGCTTCCGTGTATATATATATATACAGAGACAGAGACAGAGAGGGAAAGAGCAAGAGAGAGAGAGAGAGAGAATCTGGCCGGTGACCCATATGTCGCGTTGTTGCAGGGTGGCGCTCAACACGGTGCTGCAGAAGAGACATGAGCTCGTTCGGCCTGAAAAAGGATGCCCAGTCAGCGACTCTGGCCTAAGCATGGCCTGGAACTACCACACGAAATAAGATACAAACAATACAACGACGTACACTTTAGGATACAGCATGTGTATATATATATATATATAGCTCACCCCCCCCCCCCCAAGACCTACCGGTATTAACGCAGGAAGAAAATCATGTAAGAGTACAACATTGTATATCTCTTGTATCATCACTTTACAATCCTACCATGATGACACCAGTGTTCGTTTGAGCGCGCTACTAAGGCTTTGGATTTCTGTTTTTTTGGCTGCCGTCGTCGTATAGTCTCTTTAGATTCTTGCGCTTGAGTACACACGTATTAAGACTGAACCGGACATGACTGCGCAGGACTTGGGTGACGTGGTATGTTTTCATCTTTCTTGTTGCTGCTTACACACATCATCACCATGGTAAGATTAGAACTGATATGAGTGCACACGATCACGGGCTCCATGGGTTTGTAAGGATACGTGACGTGAGATTATCCGTGAAGGTTATGCAGAACACGAATCCCTCCCAAGAGACGATTTTGACGGTATTTACAATGGAAGAGAGACGGAGGTAGGTCATGGAGGGTGTGTCCATACGTATGTATGTATGTATGTATGTATATATATATATATACGCGTGTGTCTGTGTGCGTGTGTTTGTATCAGACTGAACAGCTAACCAACTAACTAACTAACTAATTGATTGACTGACTAACTAAAAAAAGCTGACTGGTTAAACAATCAAATAATACATTAAGTAATCAGCTGATACTAAATAATTAGATGGCTGGTTTAGTTAGTCAGCTAGTTAGCTAGTTATTAACTAGTTAGTTAGCTAGTTAGTTAGTTAGCTAGCTAGCTAGCTAGCTAGTTAATTAGTCAGTCAGTCAGTCAGTCAGTCAGTCAGTTAGTTAGTTAGTTAGTTAGTTAGTTAGTTAGTTAGTTTGGTTAGTTTAGTTGGTTAGTTAGTTAGTTAGTTAGTTAGTTAGCTAGTTAGCTAGTTAGCTAGTTAGCTAGTTAGTTTAGTTAGTATGGCTTTTGATTTGATCTACGAACACGGGTCGCCGGACAAAGCTGACGCTTTGATTAGACATGCTCCTTTCATGACACCTTTGTTCTCAGCCAGAAGAAAAAGCTAGGAAGAACTAAGAAGGAAGCATTCTCTCAACTCACACAAGCCCTCACCCAACAACCCTAGACCCTTCACCCTGAACCCTCATCCTTAAAGACTATCGACGAGGAAGCCTCGATGAAGTTTGCTGCCTCTGGAAGGCATGGCTTGTAGTCGAAGCTTTCGGAGGATCGGGGGATTTCGTTCGGCTGCAGGGCTCATGGGGCTTTGGCTTCTCTCACTCTCGCAAAGCAGGCAAGGCTTTACACTCATGGGGCTTTGGGGTTCAACTTTGGCTGAAGTTTCTACTGTTTGGGGTTTTTGTTCTGTTGGCTTTTGTTCTGCGCCGGCGTGGTTCTGATTGGAGGCGGGACTGTCCCAGAACGACAGCTTTGTTCCAACTCCCATGGGTCTTTCAGACCGTGGGACCTCGTAGTGTCCAGCATCCAGGGGTTTAGGGTTTAGGGGTTAGGGTTTAGGGTTTAGGGTTTAGGGTCAATCTCCGTCTGCTTTGTATGCAGGTTCAGGGTTTCAGGGTCTGGGGTTTCAGTGTTATCTTCGGGATTGGCGGCTTGCCAGCTTAGGGCCCAAGGTGCTTGAGGACCTTGAATTCAGCGGACACCTATGGATACCAAGCATCAATCTCTAACGTCCGGTATAGAACAGAATGAATCAGGAATTTCAGAGGTGGACAAGCAGACTCTGGCCTGGAAATTGCAATCTTCGAGGAACTCCTTTTTTCGGCCACCCCGCCTCTTCCAAAGCGCGCCGCCCTGTGGCCACTATGGAATCGGCAATCTCTGAGCACGGCCTCGGCCGGCGAGGCAGAACTTGGCTTAAAGTTACCGCTTCGATGTTGGGGCGCAGGGTTTAGGGTTTAGGGTTTACAGAGACATGGGCCTTTGCACAAAACCTGCTGCACAAAAGTGCATGCACGGGACATGAGAAATCCTGGGCCCCCTACATTACACCCCGAGACTCTGTTCCAATCCTTAAGGCCCCCGTGTCATCCACCAACACCCTCAGTAGCCTGTTAGTCTTAAAGCTCCTCGAAGTAAACAAGAAGGAGGGAAACCTACCTTTTGACGGAACGGGCTACAGCGGGGCCAAAAGAATTACCTATAGTATTTTGGGATACTGGGCCCCAACACAATATTCTAATTATTACGGCCCCTATATTAGTGTAGCCTGATAATATGCGGACTATCAGACCCCGATTATATCAGATTCATGATGCTGCAGTGCCACTCATGACTCAAGACCGAGGCCGATACATGCGGCCGCTAAAGGAAGCGGACGAGTAGCCGTAGGTCCTTGCGGCTGTTTTGGCTTCAGCGTCTGGGGCAATGTGGGATTTTCTGTTTGCTTTGAGTAAGTCTTTGGGTCTTCGTGCCATAGGCTGTGCAAGCGACAGGCAAGGGCGAGAACGCCGTCGGACAGACGAGAGAGCCCACAAATCCACAAATGGCTCAGTTTGCAGGGCTACGGCTTGCGATCTGAGAAAATGCTGGGACGCCGACACATTTGCGAAGTACTTCAGCGCGAACTGCTTGTGCTCCAGGCGCTTTGCCTTAGAGCTAGTCTGGGTAGGAGAAACCCACGTGCGCCATCGAAAGGCCATCGTGATCGTGGCCGACAGCTACATGCACACTATGCTGATATCAGAGTGGACGGATGGCAGCGAGAGAGTAACTGAGAGAGACAGACAGATAGCGAGAGAAGCAAAAACACGGAAAGCCCACCGAACTACTATCATCACCGTAAGCCACCATATCCTATAAGAGCGCTCCAGAAACTTGGGTACATGAAAAGACCATCTGACCAAACAGGATGCGAACCGCCAGATCAGGTTCCCCTGCTTTGAAACACCCACCTATTCTACCGCTACAAAAAGCCTAAATACAGACCTTGCACAACCTCCTCAAGCCATGATCGTCTCCGCGTAAAAATCTAAAAACCCCGGTGGTACTGAAAGCTCCCTGCATGAAGGCTTACGGTCATTTACGAACTCTTAGCACTTTCGCATCCAGGTCTGTGCAAACCCTTAAACTTTACCTAAAACCCAAACCCCTTTTTGCACCCAGTCTGGAGTCACCTTTCTGGGAGGACGACAGTCAGGTCACCGATGCGCAAACATACTAGATACTCGGCACGAGACGCGAAATCCACCGCGAACTCATGGTCCGACTCACTGGGTATCGAACAAGTGGCAAAACAAAGCTGTGTTACCTTTTTTGCAACGGCCTTGTCAGGACTGATAGCCCACAGCAGTTGTGTTACCCTAAACCCTAAACCCAACCACCTTTGTTTTCAGGCCCGGACCATGGCTGGCGAGGTGGAGCTCTGCTTGGCGAGTCGTTTCGTCTCCGCGCGGAGCTGCAAAACCTTCGGCGTCCCGTGGATTTAGGTTTTTTTTTGTTTGAGGGCTCTTGCCGTCTGCACGCGGGTACGGCGTGCTGAAGCCTCCTATAGATCGTGCACCTCCCCATCCAGGAAGGAAGAACACGATAACAGTCGACCCCGGCCATGTCAGACCAGCCATGCAGCGGCGGAAGATTCTCGACACCGCAAACCCTAGAACCTGGAAAACAGATCATAGGGTTTTCTTTCCCAGGGTTTCGGGCCATGGATTTTTGGCGTGATGGCGTAGAGTATTGCGGCCAAGTCCCTTGGACACCCCAAGTCATCCCTATAAACCTAAGCCACCAAATCAACTCTAGGCCAAAAGCTTCCAACTCTAAACTGGGTTGCTTTAAGGTTAAGTTACCATGTTATGGGAACCTTATTACCGATATCCCTGTTGGGGTAACTCAAACTCAGTTCCTTGACAGCAACCCAGTAAACTGTGGGCCCAAACCCGAAGACCTACAACTCGTTGCACTTTCGGCCTCAGCAAGCATCAGGGGTAGGAGCCCCTGCCGCAGCTTGGGACCTGAAATCAGCCTATTCGTAGAAGTAGCAGTCGTCGTACTAGTAGTAGTAGTAGCAGTAGTAGTCGTCGTCGTCGTGGTGGTTGTGGCCGTACTTCTACTGCTACTACTACTACTACCACCACCACCACCGCCGCCACGACGACGACCACTGCTACTACCTGCTACTAAGTACTACTAGAAAGTCAAAACAGAAAGATGAATGGGATGCTTTCGAAACTCCCATGCCCTTGGCCCCTAGGCCCCTGGGCCTCAAGGCCCCCGAAACGCCCTTGAAAGCATCAGCGTGGACCCGAATGTCAAGCCTCGCATCCACTTGAAGCCCAAAAGCCACTGACCCTTCAGGCTTAAGCCCCGATTTGTCGGAACCCCCTGGCAAGACCTATTCACAAAAGCGATCTCTGCACTTGAAACCCACAAAGATCCCGGCAGCAGTCGTCGTTGTGGTCATGTCGTCGGTCATGTTGTCCTTGCTAGAGGGTTCGGTCTCGAGCTACTCAACACGGAGATAGGTCGTACAGCCCGGACGCCGATGGTGTGGCGAGTGGACCATGGCACCCCAAACCTCCCGGCTTCGCTCCAGTAAGGTCCCTTGCCATAGAATGGGACTGCTATGTAAGCCCGGATAGGTACACGCACGCGAGACTCTCTGTAGATCAAACACAGACCAACCCTGAAAGCCTTGCCTATCCGGCATGATACCCCACGATAAACGCAGATGCCACGGAGAGCATGGCACTTCAAACCCTTGGAACCGTAAGCCAAGCCCAGGTCTTTAATACCCCCGCATCAAAATTCATTAATTATACTTCTTCTGATCACAACAAAGGACCAATCATGCGAAGAATGCAGGCTCCGGGGCCCCGACGGCCATGGTTGTCGTGGTCTCAGCAGGGGGAGGGGGGGTGTGCTCCAGGGCTTAAGGGTCTAGGCTTGGAGCACTTCCAAGGCTGTCAAGGCTGCGTCGAACGGGAGTCCATCCTCTGTGGGGTTTGGCTCCGGGCATTGGGTCTAATATTCGGCAGTGGATGAATTGTAGAAAACTGAAGTATCGGGTTCAGGATTTCGGCTTGCTCGAGGGTGGGGCTGAAGGCACAACCGAGGCCCTCGTCAAGTCTTGGCGCTGGACCGTGGTGGTGGTGGTCGTGGTCGTCGCCTCATCAACGGGCACGGGGGTCTTCACACCAGCGAACGGATGTTGGACTACTGCAGGATATTTGCGGCGAAAGGTAAGGCCTTTCACTTCAGATCGGGGATGTTGGCCTCTGGGTTTCGGGTGAGGTGCCTGAATCTGCGCTGGCCATCTGTTCTCAGGATTGAGACTTCTCGATCCCCTCGCTGAGGCACGAGCCGGCACGAGAGTGCTTGTCTTTCCAACCACCTCCCACAGGCAAATAGTGGTGCCGATGAGCTGCATCCCCATCATCGTTATCATCATCAACAACAAGAGCAGCAACACCAGAATCATCATTATCATCATCATCATCATCATCAGTAGCAGCAACCATCATCACCATCATCACTATCATCGCCATGACCATCAATATCACACTCACCTTGAAGCCTTGGCTTGTGGGCAAAGGCAACTAGACATGACAACCAAGGTTCTGCAGGGCTTGCATGACCGTTAGGAGCTTCCTGCAGTGGGTCGTACAAGTAGAATCTTAAGTACTCCAGAACATCTTTCGTCTAGTACGTTGCACCCTACAACGAAAGCTCGTACCTTCTATCACCTTC